AAGAAGAGGAGGGAAGGAAGAGAAGTAAGGGAGGAGGAGGAAGGAGGGGAAGAGAAGGGACAGTAAGAAAATTATCTTAACAATAAAGCTTACCCATGTTAGTTTTAGAATATATGCATGTGTTTTATGAACAACATCACAGCAAAAGGTTGATTTCATACATAGTAACAAAAAATGCTGCGGTCTGACCCGCTATAGCAGAAGATGTGCTAAGCAGAAGAGTAAGGGGACCAACATGTGGGAGACTCTGCAGGCACCACCACCCCATGCAGCAGCCACCCAGGTGGCTGTACTGTGAATCAGTGGGCATGCCCCTTCAGTGGCAGGTGTTGTGAGTCAGTGGACGTTGTAAAATGATGACAATATGAACAACATGAAGTTCAGTCTTGTCTCTTACAGGATGATTTATATTCTTGGAAATTCAGTGTAAAAGCACCACTTTGTGCATCCAGGTGACTGGAAACCAGCATCCTACTGCCTGAAAGGTACAAGAGGTTGTTAAACATCATAAGCTCACTTAAAATTCATCAGAAATTTGCTAAACACCCTGGAAAAGTGGCATCATCTCCAATTTAGCACAGAACACTGTGTTTACTGGGAAGTTTACTGGGAAGGACTTTGGAGTGAATCAGAGTGCTTCTGTGTAATGTTTTTTTTATTTATCAATTTATTATTTTGAGTGGGTGACTTAACTCCTAATCTAATGTGAATTTAATTTGGTACTTTAGGTTAATATCCTCCCCTCCAAAAAATATGTATTGAAGTGTCCATTTTCCAGTACCTATTACATAACCATATTTGGAGATAGGGTATTTAGAAAGATAATCAAATTAAAGGAAGTTTCCAAGACAGGACATAAAACAAAATGACTAGGGTCCTTATGAAATGCAAGCCTTGGGCCAGTGACATGGCTCAACCTTTCAACCAGAGCTAGATATATAGGCTCAAGTAGTGGACGGAGAGAATGACTTCAATAAGTTGTCCTGGGACTTACACATGTGTACCGTGGCTCATGAACATAATATAATAAATAAATAAGCAAATACATAAGTTTAATTAATATAATAACAAATTTAAAAGGGGAATAGGGGTATAGGTACTCATACTGAGTAAGCCCAGTGCAAGGATGTGAGGGTAGAGAGATAAGGGTGGTGCTTCCTGCAGCCAACCAATGCTAAAGATTGCCACAGAACCACCAAAGTAGGAACATGAAAAATAAGAAGTCCCAGAGACAGATACTGAGATTCAAGCTGAGGGTCAGATAAACAAAGCAGCCAAGCCAGTAGATCTTACCTCTACCCAGCTGAAATGGCAATCCTGTCTCCTGAATCCTCAGAGGCAAAAGCTCTGAATTCCTGTCTCCTCTTTATATTCCTTTCTCCACCCAGCCATATCCCCCTGTCTCCACCTCCCTAGTGCTGGGATTAAAGGTGTGTGATCCCATGTGCTAGAATCAAAGGTGTGAGCTCTCTTACTCTTCTTTCTTGTGTGGGCCAGGGTGGCCTTGATCTCAAAGATCCATCTGCCTGTCTCCTGAGTTATGGGATTAAAGGTGTGTGCTACCACTGCCTAGCTTCTACAGTTAACTAGTATGGCTGGCTTTGCTTTCTGATACTTCAGGCAATCTTTATTAAATCATAAATAATGTATCACCACAAAAGCAGGTAGACATAACGAATGGACACTTTCTTTTGGTATTCAGAAAGACCCAAGTCTTTAGATAACTGGTTCTTGGACTTGTAAGTTCATAAACTATGAAGAAATTAACTCGTCCTTATTAATTTGCAGTACTCAGTGGAATGGAATCCAGAACAGATTGATGTACTAAGAAAGTTACATTAAAATTTTAGAAATTTCAATTTTGATAAATTTACAATATACAATTTTAATTGCTTTCTTAAATCTTTGTCTTAAGACACCTCTTTCATTTCTTACTACCATGCTTTACTTTTCCGCAGGGAAAGCAAGTGATGTTATTGGGTCTATGGAATGTAGCATTTTCAGAGAAAAGATACATTTTGATGAACATAAGGAGGCTGAAATTGGCAGTTTCAATCAGGATAGCCTTCTGTAATATATAGAAAGCACTGCCTTTGAATTATAACAGAGAAGCTAGAATGGACAAAATAGCTAAGGTGGCACCTATCTCAATTTGCTGTCCTTGGATTGAGGAGTATGGTCTTACCTATAACATGCTAAACTGCTTGGAAAGCTTGGAAAGACAGAAGACAGAAGCATCCTTTCTCTTTGTCTCAGTGGAACCGGACAGAAACTACTCTCCAGGCTGACTTTGCAGCAAGGTGGAGGACACACCCTACTTTTTTCCCAAAATGTAATAGCATGAAGGAATGAATTTTCTTTATTCAAAATCTTCATTATTTTTGAGTGAGGGGTGGGTGCATAAGTCAGTTTTTATTTCACCACTGGAAGGAAGGGCAGAAGGTGGCAGAGAATTGACACTGACTGCTTTGACCAGTGTCCTCATGAAGGAGGGAGGACAACTATACAAAGTTTAGAGAGCTAAAAGACAGAGGGCAGTGAGGTCATTTGGGGAGTAGCACCAGCCACAAAACTCAGTTATAAATGCCCAGTGGGGCACCTGATTAGTCATGAGCCAATGGGCCAACAGCTGCAGGGAATGAGGCATTCCCAGTACTTATTAAGGCGAGCATGCTCCTGGAGAGAGAGAAGGAAGACCCTTCATGTCAGGAACATGTTTTTAAATTCTGAAATGCACATGTATCTTCTTGTATCCATAATCTGCCTAATAATCAATTTCCTTTTCTTTCCACAGGCATTCATTAAGGAACTACCAGGTGACAAATGTTCCTCAAAATGCAGGCTCTAAGCTCTGGGTATGGAACAGTCACTAGTGCACATACTTTCAGAGTCCCAACAGCATGCAGAGACAGATGTTCATATAAAGGCCTCTGGTGCAGCACAGTGTAGATAGCAGTCCCAATTACTTATAGCTGGATCAATTAGGAATGTCAGACGATTCCCTTGGGTGATTGCTTAGAGAGAACTGATGCCATAAATGATCTCCACTCACATGTGTCCAAGGTTATAGGCATACTTAAGAAGATGGGTTCAGGAGATTCTTCTGTATATTTTAGATAGTCTCCCGACAGTGTGCTTCTCACATTACACCTACACCACCTCCAAAGCCTCTACCCTCTGCTCTTCTCCTAGGTTATGCTCCTTGGCCCAAGTCTCTCGCAATAGAAGCATACTGAAATTTTGAAAAGGCATAGAAAGAAAGATTCTAAATGGATGTGGAGTGACCTACACAAGGCATCATCCTGAGGAAGGGTGAGTCTGTAGTCAGCAGGTTTTTTGCACAAAGGGCATCTTTATCCCTTTATTCCACAGAATGGCAGCTTTATCAGTCCTCTGCCAGTCTAAAGCCTCAGTGACTTACCCATGTTCTTTTGTCTCAGGTTTCTTTTCATTCAATGTGGTCTAATTGCACGGAGCTAGAATCCTTTCATTTGATCATATTTGCTATTTAGGCATTCTCTATTGTCACTGAAAAAAACACAATGGTCTGAACTATGGTTCTAGTGCCAAAGAACGGGGGCATATTGTCCTAGAGGGGTGCTCTCCAAAAGGTCACGATGACTGTGTGTCCTAAAGCTGCATGATTGGGGAATGCCCTCCAAGGACAAGTGTCTTCTAAAGGTGGGTGAGTTTTCTGTTTTGTTTTATTTCCTGGCATTGACTTTAGTACCCTCAAATAGTGAGGACTGGAGGCCACAGTGCTGCTGATGCTCCACAATGCATGTACAGCCTCCCAGAACAAAGACCTACTGATAGACGTCGACAGTGACAAGGTCCAAGGCTGTGAGGAAGAGTGTCCTCACACAGTCATCCCCACTGAGCGCACATCCTTGCTGCCTCCTGCACTGCTTATAAGAACAGGAATCATATTAGATTAGGGCCTCACTTTGGTGCCTCATTAAATCTTAATCACCTCTTTAATGACTTAAAACACAATCCTATTACGGGTTATGGTTTCACTACATGATTTCTTGTTTGGATAATTCTGTCCATGGTACCAGGGCAAAGGGAAAGGGGGAAGTAGAGGGAAGATAACTTCATCTTAAGGGAATTTTTTCTTAGAAATTCTGTAAGTCAGTCCTTTTCATGTGATTCCCAAATCACAGTTGTGTCTATCTGGTTACAAAGAAGGCTAGAAATATATTCTCTAACATGATGTCTATCTATGCACTCAGCTGAAGCGAATGAGCATCTGTCAGGAAGATGAAAACATGGCCTCTTCTCATCCTCCACTCCCAATTCTTCCCATGTGTAACCTTCCAGTGTCCTTGCAGGGCCCACAAGGGAGCAGCACATGTTCTCACATGGGACTCCAGTACCACAGATGCCTTGCCCAGCTCTAGCTCCTCTTTCATGGAGAAGGGCCTCACAGCACTGCACCAGAAAACACTTGCCCTTTTTAGTCCCTGCAAACTAACTCTATTCCGTCTCATTTTGTCTTTACTATTTCAGACAGTAGCGAGAAAGGCCCTATGTGGAGAAAGCAGGATTAAAGGAATGCATATGGTGATGGCTCTTAAATTAACTTCCTTTTCTGATAGGAAACCCTGGGAATTCTGCTTCAGTTGACTAAGATTGACATATAATTCTTAAAATTCTGATGTTTGGAAGACCATTCCTGGATAAAAACTATTTCTAAGTGCATGTGTACACTTTAAATATGACTACAAAGTAGTAACAGTAGAGTTTGTTTTAACATGTTGATTTAATATGTTAATGTTAAGCAGTATATGCTCATATATGGAAATAGCACAGTTTTAATTTTCATATAAGGTTACATTTGATTTATGCTGTAAATGATGAAAAAAGTGTTATCATCCATGTCATCTGTGAAACTTTTCCCAAACACTGCATTACTGTGTTCAGCCAGAAGGCACATGGAGCCCCTAATGAACTGAAACATGGTGACCCCTCACCTTCTCCAAAGCAAGGCAACTCACCGTTCTTCTTGTAGAACATAATTTCTCCTTTGAACTCTATCTTCTCCTCCAGGGATTTTTCAATCTGAAGCATCAGCTGCTCGTTGGTCTCCACACCAAACAAAAACTTGCAACTGCAGCTCTTCTGCATAACTTCGGTTCGTGCAAACCCAGACAGCTCACAGAAGCCATCGGAACAGTAGACTATGGGGAACCCCTTTGCCACCTGTGCATTGGCCAGGATGAAGTTGCTATCTGGAGAAAACAAGCAGAAGACATTCAACCACTTAAAGTTCTTCTTTAAGCTACAATTTCAGGCACTTGCACAGTTCCTGGTGCCAAAGATTGCACTCTACGATACTGTCTTGAAAGAGAGCCCCAGACTTGAAAGGGCAGTGGGACCAGTACTGCCTAGGCTCTGACTTGGCTCATGTGCCAACCAGTCTAGGCAAGTTGACCTCTGAACCCATTTTGTTGGATTGCACGGTCTCAAAAGCAGATCCTGGAGCATGAATTTAAGTGTGAGTCATGTATGGGGAATGTGACTCCAGGTTGTAGCAGGAGAAACTTTTAGAGATGGACTTTGAAGAATGAACAACATGTTTATAGGAAAAAGTAATACATGCTAGAGCTTAGCTTTGAGACAAGGTATCTCTAATGCTTGCCAGTTAATTACTAGGATTTATGGTGAAGCATAATGATTATAAAAGAATCGTTATATTTGTTTCACTCAAGAAACAAATATTACATACTGACCGTAAGTACCTAAAGTGGAGGCTTTAAACATAATAAAACTGAAAATGAAAAGAATTATGGAGAAGAGGTTAAATGAAAAAGATTCATTATAATATATTATTACATGGAACTACTGTCTCAAATACAAATATATAAACATACAAACATGTGCCAAATATGAAATATATATATGAAATATACATGTATACACACTTACAGACATATATACCCAGACATACGAATGTTAATAAAGCATCTAGAATCTGTGATTGTCTCTAGAGAGAGTAGCTTTGGGCATAGATTTTACCATATGGATTTTACCATATAACTCTACTGTGCACCCATTGGATTCATACAAATATTTTATGTATTGTCTACTTTGAACCACTATGTTTCAAAGGAGTTTGCAACAGGCAACTTCTTGATGGCCAGTAGGATAAACGTGGAACATCCATTTCATTATGTAACCATCTCCTCCTAAGCATCTGTAGTTTGTTTTCCAAACTATCCATTCTCAATTTTGCTTCAGGCAGTCCTGGGCTAAGAGTACTATTCATAGTGACAGTATTTCCATCTTGCCTTGGCTTCCTTGCTTCATCCATTTCCCCATTAGTCTCTCCCTTTTAGAACCAGAACTGGATAACAACAATTAGAGACTTTGAATCACATGCTCTTTGGAAGCCATGGGAGTGAATTAGATTATCCCAGACTGAGAATTCTCTCACATTTCACAGTATCATTTATTGACTATTAAATAGTAGATACTGTCAAAGATGTGAATAAATAAATTGTATGTGATCCTGTCCTTGGACTATGTGGAATTCCTAGCTCAGTCTAGAGGAGGGAACTCAAAGAATCGACAAGGCCAAGGGCTTCACTTCACTCTCTGACCTTAGTACCCCCCCTCCCTAATATAACATTTGATTAAGTGAGTGCTTAGAAAACATAAAAGCAGAGCTTGGCATAGTTGTCAAATATACTGAATGGGCTTTGAATGTCATTTTACATCACTTTATAAGTTATTTTTTTTCAATAGACCACTGACACATATTCACTGGCTTCCTGAAGGCAATGCCAGGAGATACAGTTCCACCCTTCAGTAAGTTCCAGAGTGAAGGACAGCATGGGAGAAATGTGTGAATAAGAATAATGCATGATTTTGTTTTAAGATGCTATGACTTAATTAAAGAAGTACATGATTATAAATATTAAGCCCTGAAGAGTGGTACATAGTCAATAATTACCTCTAGAGTTAAGAATGTAAACATCCCAGGCTTTGAAAATGGTTAGCTTGGAATAAGACAAAAACAGATATAGATGACATGTGAAAGGCACATTGTCATGGAACAGATGCCTACATGTACAAGGGCTGGGGTGAAAAGGGAAACAGGAATGGAGCTATAGAATAGAAACCATCCCTTCTCTTGAAGTCAAGTTTGCCCATTACTTGTATACGTCAGCAGCTTTGCTGTGTTTGTCTGGCCAAATTTTCTCCATCTTTCTACTTTCTTATCTTCTAGGGACTTACGGTTCAGATGCTTCTCATATATGATCTGTACATTGCTTTTACAGCATGAACCCTTTATCTAAGATTATTACATTCACTCATTATTACTAGATCACATTTCTTCTTAATCACCTTAATTTATGCTTTCTCTTTACTGTGTTTTGTGACTTTTGTCTTTGTAACTTTTAAAAATTGGGAAACATATCTAAAACTGTACAATATTTTTAAAAAAGTTAACAGCTATTAATTTTGGTTAACTATAAGAAATCCTGTCTATGTATCGTGATGTATTTCCTTTGTCCCTGAAGTAAGAAACTCATAACATTAATGTTGATGATAATAATCCTTATTTTCATCTTCTACTTTCTTACTATTTATTATCCCTTGTGAAATATTGCTCACGTTTCCTTTCTGCTGCTTTGATAAAACACTGACCAAAATCAATTTGGAGAGGAAAGGGTTTATTTGGCTTACACTTCCAGGCCATAATCTGTCATTGACATAAATCAAGGCAGGGACTGAAGCAGAAACCATGGAAGATGATAACTTGCTGGCTGACATCTGGCTCATGCTTAGCTAGGGATGGCGATGCCTTAAGTGGGCTGCCCTTCCTCAAGACTGTCCCCCATAGGCTACTCTGATAAAGGAAATTCCTCAATTTAGGATTCTGATTTCAGATAGATGGATCTTGGCTGTAATATTGGCAGCTGAAGCCAAGTAGGACAAATACATCATCCTTTTCCTCATTTTTAAGGTATATATATTATCATCAATATGCTCTCCATTATCTCTTATTGGCGTGCTCTTTAAATTAATTCCCACAGCATCTTTGCAATTGTTGGCAAGAAAAGACCAGTGCTTTAGAGTTCTAATTAGATGAAAAGATGATGAAGTATTACCAAGCCATCAGATCTGTGTGTTTCAATTAAAGATTACAGTGTGTTTGTGTAGCTAATTCTTCCTGTAAACATGCCACAAAAATAAATGAATATACTTGGCCTTCTCTGTTTATATTTAGCACTTGTCCTCAACATATAATTGCATTTCAATTCCAAAGAGAATGTAGTGGCTGGCTGTGCTTTGAAAAGCTTAGTGTACTAGCTACATGAATGGTTCTTCTGTTTGAAAAGTGTCATTCCGGATGAAGGCTCTAAGATGGCATATAAGTTAGTCATCAATCTCATATTCAGGGGAGGGCATTTAAGGTAGCCTCTCCTCTGTTGCTTAGATGGTTAGTTGGTGTCATCCTTGTAGATCTCTGGACATTTCCCTTCATCCAGCGGCTGATGGAATTAGAAGCAGATATCCACAGCTAAACACTGAAGTGAACTGGAATCCAGTTGCAAAGGAGGAGGAGTGATGAGCAAAGGGGTCAAGCCAGGTTGGTGAAACCCACAGAAACAGCTGACCTGAACAAGCGGGAGTTCTTGGCCCCATACTGATCACTGGGAAACCATCATGGAACTGATCCACCCATGAATGTGGGTGTCAGTGAAGAGGCCTTGGAAATCTGTGGGGCCTCTTGTACTAGATCAGTTCTTATCCCTAGCATAGAAATGGACTTTGAGAGCCCATTCCACATAGAGAGATACTCCTTCATCCTAGACACATGGGTAAAGGCCTAGGCCCTATCCCAAAGGATATGACAGACTCTGAAGACCCCCATGGAATGCCTTACTCTCCCTGGGGAGCAGAAATGGTATGGGATAGGTAGGGTGTTAGTGGGGGGGGCAGAGGAGGAAGGGAGGGAGAGGGAACTGGGATTGACACGTAAAACCATCTTGTTTCTAATTTAAATTAAAAAATGGAGAAAAAGAAAAGTGTCATTCCTTCACCCTGCTATCTACTCTGAACATATGCTTTTCTAAACACCAATCCCAGAATTCCCAAAAGAGAAATATGGCATTTATTTTAGAATTATGTAAAACAAAGCCAGGACCATAGCAATTAGGAAGTCATCACTGCCATACAGCTATGTGTACATGTGGTTGGATTATTTAACCTTTCAAGGAATCAATTATGCACATGTGATATGCATCTGAATATCACAATTTTCTCGGCTGGTTTTAGGTCATCATTTTGTGTTTTTATGGTTTGAAAGTGACAGTAAATCACATTTACATTGCTGGTATAAAATATGGAAAGCAGCTGGGTGTTGGTGCCACAAACCTTTAATCCCAGCACTCATGAGGCAGAGGCAGAGGCAGGCGGATCTCTGTGAGTTCAAGGCCAGCCTGGTCTCCAAAGGGAGTGCCAGGATAGGCTCCAAAGCTACACAGAGAAACCCTGTCTCGGAAAAAAAAAGATGGCAAGCATTGCATGAACTCTAACTCTTGGATCACTTTAACTCTTGGAGATGCTCGATTTTAACATAATAAAAATTAGTTATGATAAACTTCCATTCCCCAACCAAGACCCAAGACTAAAGATTAGAATTAAATATGTGTGGTATGTTGTTTTGCACAATATTATAAACTTTTTCTGAAAAGAAGCAGTTTTCTCTCCACCAGCAATCATTTGTCCATTTCCATTTTTTGTGGTAGTGGTGGTGGTGTGGGGGGTTTTCCATATTTTCATGTATACAGACAGGTGTGCACACTCCTGTGGAGGTCTAAGATTGATGTTGGTAGTCCTCCTCGTGTCTTTCACCTTATTCATTGAGACAAGGTCTCACAAGTTGATATAGCTAATCTTTCTCCAACTTCAGAGGCTGAAACTGCAGGCCAAGAAGCACTTACATGATTTCTGGGGCTTCTAAGTCCCAAACTCTCTTTCTCAGACTTGAGAATACAGTTACCGCTGAACCTCTCCCCAGACAGAAGCGAGTAAACTGCTGAAAACACTTGTTTTCCCAGTTTCTGAGCCCAAAGCCACTTTTTTGTTTGTAGATATCATTTATTGGTGATACCATCTAAATCAGTCTAGATCTTTCAGCTGCCTCTGTTATCTCCTCCAGAAAGTCAATATTCCAAAACTATGGGAGCTACTTGCTTCCTTTGCTCCAAAATACTTT